AAACTAGTTTGCATCCCTCATGTATGTTAGACGTGCGGGATTCACACGCTGCATTTATGTGAACAAATGCATGTTTGTAAGATTCTGCAAAGGGAAACTTTGAATAGTCACAGCCATTGATGTTAATAAGCAGCCTGATCAAGGCTCCGAGTTCACACACACACACACACACACACACACAGCTCTTGGATGCTGCAGGGACAGGAATCTTCCCACGCAGCCTGCTTCACCTCCTCAGCTACAGTACAAAAGGTCAAAGTGCAAACAGGTTCATTGTTGACATCATGTTGTGTTTACATGCTGAGCTTTCATTAATAAAATGGTTTCACCAAACCTGACACAGCAGAGCTCCATCAGAGAGCCGCTGTCCGTCTCAGAGCTTGATGGAAACTCTGACGGAGCCCAGCTGATGTTTCTTTTCCGTAGATTTATTTAGCTGTCGTCTGTTTGTAGACGCTTCACTTTAATCCTTTCCTTTTTTAACATTTACCGCCACATATCAGCAGATAACACACACAAGTGAAGGTTATTAATTTGCAGTAAAGCTAGGATGGGCTGTAGTCATGGAAACCTGCGACCTGCTCCAAACCTGCAGCCTCCTCCAGTGTCCGGGGCTGCAGTTGCTACAGAGACTCTGCGAGGTGGTCTGGTCATGTGGGCGCGGCGGCCTCTACCCAAACGCTGTGCAGGGTCACAGAGCGTCAGCGCTGCTGTGAGCGCAACTTTACTCCTAAAACGGCGCTAATCTGCCCACCCATCCCCCACCGCACCGGGCCGATTTAATTAAGAGCGTTTGGAAGAAGGCAGTACGGCTGCTCGCAGCAACAAGAGGTCAAACCCGCTGATTCCTCTGGTTGGGAATTCCAGACATGGATCTGGATGTGTGTCTCTGTAAGTGGACACGCTACAAAGTTAGCTCTGCCACAGACGTTCTGCAATGATTTTAGTGTTTTTGCTAACATTGCATCAAATATGACGAGACTTGCATTACAGTCTTTAGTTTTCCATAAACATCAGAGGCGCTTTGGAGCTGGACGCAGGGATGTTTTGGAAGCATTGTGAGATGATGACATGTCAAATTGAAAAGAAAAATCATGAAATCTCCTGTTTATGTTCATTAATCCTTCTGTGATCCAGGGAACGACTCTCGCACGGCGTGGAGGGAATTTTCAGTCGTGTCGGATTAGTCTTGGACTGCTTGTGTTGGATGACCAGTTAGGAAAATTCATGGAATTTGGGGGGAATTACTTAATTTAAAGGCTGCTTTGCAGTTCTGCCAAACTTACCGTAATAGATTTCAGTTAATGTTTCAGTGCAGATTAACTGTTCTGCCATAAAATCGTCTGAAACTATTTTAAGAAATCAAACCTAATAGATGTCAGTCTTCCTGTGCGGGTCCCCCGCCCCCACAGACCTCCGAGAAGCTCCCTGAATAGACTTCCAGGAACGGAGGCTGTTGCTGGCACTGCTGCTCTTTGGGACTCTGTTATCGAAACTGTGAGCGTTTAATGTTTGATCGTGTGGTACGATCAGAGGAGGCGATAACATCGATCAGTGCAACAGAGCGATTTCTGTCTGGGACATTTTATATCTGTGGTGCATTTACAATATCCTGCTCTTTGTTTTGTCAGCTTGAGCCGGTCTGGGTAAAAACTGCTCATCAGTAAATGTCAGTAATAAATAAAAAGCTCCAAATATCCGGTTGGTCAAAGTTCAGAGGGAGGATTTTCTGTCTTACAACCAAAAATATGTAAAAATAACACAGAATCACTTTGGACTCATCTTGATAATAGTTTCATTGTCATTTTTAGATTAAAAAAGAATTTAAAATCATATTCATGAGGGATGCAAACACTCGACTAATTACAGCCTGCTGCTTTCAGAACCTGCACAGAAACAAGTATCTGAATCGTCCTGCATGACAGAAATGATGGTTTTCTCTGGTCGCCTTGAGAGGACAGCGTGTTAAAGGTTGTGTTTCATGTGTCCGGGTTCTCCCCCGTGTGTTCACATGGTACAGTCGTATGTTACTAACGTCCTGCTCCTCTGCTCAGAGAAGCTTCTTCCACCACGGTCGTGCAGCACCACACTGATACAGACGACTGCACCGGAACATTTGGCATCAGCCCACAGATTCCAGCCCAAGGCCCCTTCACCTTTATGTGGCTGATGTCACGTGTTTTCAAAGCAGCTCGTTCCAGTCTGAAACTGTATTATCATTGGTTTCCATGGAAGCATGATGATGAAACATTTTATTATTCCCAGTGTTTTATGGGATGTTTGCTTAGGCGTTCCACAGAACATCTGCCAAGGATGTGCTCTCAGGTTAAACCTTTAATCAAACGTAGATCAGAATTCCTAGAAATGCTGGGAATAATGGAAAGTTTTCACTTCTCCAAGTGGATGTTGATGTCTGTGTGACAGCGACTGTATCTGAGGGCAGAAGAAATATTAGATTTAACTGAAAGTAATCTGATTTAAAAGAATCAGAATCATCTCTGATCTTTATTGTGGGCTATTAGAAATCACCGGGGTGCTTACAGGACGGAGAAAGTAAAACATATTTAACTGCAGGCAGAATTCTGGGAGACAGTTTACGTCTATTTTAATAATCTCATAAAAGACGAAGCTCACAGGTCTGTTGTAACAAGTGTCACCTCCACCTGGGTCCAAGAAAATAATGAGTGAAGAAGAGTCGCAGATTTAACAGCTCAGGATTGGTCAGTTTATTGTTTTTAATGCGAAGGTTTACAAAGACAGCACAAACACACGGTCACACGTTATGGTGCAGACGGGCAGCAAACACGCAGGTTAACATGATGCATTAGTGTCTGCTGTTTACAAACATGTGGCTATTTGCTGTATATTTTGGCATTAACACAATACAAAGATAATCTCACATCTGCTACTGAGTAAAGCAGAGCTATTTGTTTCCAGCTTCATGTTGTATTTCTCAGACTCCATTAGAGTAGCTTTGCATGATTGACAGTTTAAAATAAGCCATATTTAGCTCACACTGGGCCTTGGTACAGCACAGATCATCTGTGTGACACAAACCTTTCAAACCAACCTTCCCTCAGGAACTGAAGCTCTAACAGCAGTGGCTGCTGTGCTCACACATGACCATATTAGGACCTTCCTGTTTCCCTAGCGTCACTCAGCATCACTGATTTGTCGTGAAAGTATTTACAGCATTGACTGACCGGTAATTCATGTTTCACATGACACTCTTATATTAAAACCTTTTCATTATTGGGAGAAATGTCTCATTTACCATCATGTCTGTAAAGCCCACAGCGTGTCGTCATGCTTCCTGTGAAAGGCTGAGAGCTTACACTGTAGCCTGGCAGACATCAGGACATCTCTGCACATCTACTCAGTTTAATGTGTGAGATATTCTTCTATCACCGCCACGTAGAACAGCACATCTTCATTCTTAGAGAAACACTGTGCTGGACCAGCACCAGCAAACGTTACACCTCTAATAGCTGCTAACTACCTAAAAATGGCTAACATGCTAACATCTAATGTTATTTGAGCTTGTTTTGATGGGACATATTGATTTAGTAAAATCATAATAAAACATTATGATAAAGCAAATACAATGATGATCAGGTTTGTCACGGTTGCAGCAACAGTAGGAAGATAATATCCATCCTTCACAGCAGTCAGCAGAGTCGCACACAGTTAGAAACACAAAGCTTGTGAAGTATTTCAGCACAGAGGGCTGAGCTGAGGGTCCACTGCAGAGTCACACTGTAAGGCAGAGCAGAGGCCTGTCGTCGCTGGCACATCTGTCTCGATTTTATGGGCAGATAAATAATTTCATAATACACATAGTGACACATTAATATCATAGAAAGGAAAGACAGGAAGTTGAGACAAGACTGATACAAGGACATGAGTGAAAACACAACATCTCAGTTTGTAACAAGGCGAATGTGCAGATTCAGTCACATCTGATGTGCTCAACATAAGACGGGAGGGTAACAACAATGAAGCGCTGTAACATTGTTCATAAGGACTGAGAAACTGTAACATGTGATCGTGAGACGCTAAGGCTGCCGTTAAAGGTGCCAGAACTTTCAACAATACGTTCAAAGTGACTGCAGACCGTGTGCTCTCATGGGAGGGTCACCAGCATCGCTTCAAGGTCATCAGGCAACAAGGTCATATATACGAGCTCAAGAAGCGTCTTTATGAACATTTTCAGAGTGCACAATAGAAAATCCCTGAAAATTAAAAATGTATAAACTGATGATGTCTGTACAGTGCGCTGTTCTGTAGGGAAACCGTGGCTCCCAGCATCCGTATGGGTATTATGTAGAGCAGCTAATCTATGATGGCAAAAGCAGGACACTAAACACGGAGCCGAGCTTCCTTTCACAGATCTGACTGAATACCTGCACACAGGCACCACAGGAAACCCCCACAGGTCCAGTTCCCACATCCCTGATGAGCCACAGCTGTCCGGTGGTGGGGAGGGGAGCTGCACAACATTAGTTGGGTTTCCTGTTGATCAGTTTGGTTTTTGGTCGCTGTAAATGATTCAGCCCCATTCCCACAAAAAACAGCAAAGTGCAAAGAATCGTTTTTGTTCCACGACAGACAAAACGAGCTGCATCTGTGTGGACGATGACAGAGCTGTAACTCTCTGAGCTCTGAGAGGTGCTATCAGCTGTGTCATCACTTCCTTCTGACAGCACAGGAAACCTCCACAGGTCCATCATCTGTGTGACAGGTGATGACGGTAAAGAGCATTTATTCACTGATCTTCTCAAAGTGTCTCTATGGATGGAAACCAGCTGATGTGAGGGGAAGTATAACTTCCAGGAAGTATAATGAAGTGTATCGACACTTTAAATCTGCTCAGACTGCAGTTGTGGTGGATGCAGACTTCACGTTTTGAAACCAGACACAACTTACTACAGAAACAGGGGACACTGCACACTTATTACGTTTTAAGTGGTGATCAGGATGAACAAAGCAAAACAC